CAATTTTTGTTGGGGGCTTCTTTCTCCCACGGAATAATCCATTGTGGGTTACCCTACACGCAAGATAATGTTTGAACATTTTCGCATGAAGATGGCACTATGAATCAGCGGTTGTGGTTATAGTCGTCATTGTAGTCGAGTTTGCAATCGCGATTATATTCGTGATATTAGTCGCGAGTGTAGTCGTAATCGTAGTCAAAGTTGTAGTCGTGATCGCAATCGTAATCGTAGTCGTCGTCGCGGCGGAGACTTTCATCTCTTGTTCGATGGGTTGGATAGTGTTGGCGTTTTCTTTCTCCCAGGGAATATCCAGTGTGGGCTACCCTACACGCGAGAAGATTTGTGAGCATCTTCTCACGAGGATCGCAATACAAATCAGTGTTCGTAGTTGTAGTAGTGATTGTAGTCGTGGTTGTAACCGCGATTCTAATCGTGGTCATAGTCGTGGTTGTAGTCGTAATCGTAGTCGCCGTTGCAGTCGCAATCGCAGTCGCAACAGTGGTCGTTCTGGCGCGGCGGGAGCCGCGGATAACTGTATAGGTTACGTTTTTGTGGGATCCCAGCTCGTCAATATCGGCGTCGACATGATTTGTAGTGTCCACTGCTGGGGGGTACTGGAGACCCCTCTCGGTGACCGGCACCGCTGTTCGTCTTGGGGGGGGCCCTCGTCGCCACGGCCAGGTTCGCCGCCCCGATGTCTTGCTCTCAATGCCCCCCCAAGAGAGTTCCGTGCAGTAGCAGTGTTTGTATGTTTTCCAGCCCTCCTCGTGAGTTCTGTCCTCGGTTTCAATGGAGCACTGCGGTCAAGTCTCCTCCTCCAGCCTCCCCCCTCCTCTTCCCCCCTCCTCACCTGCCTGCTACCCTGCGCTCTTACCTGCCGCCTGCCCCCGCGTCCTGCCTGCCTGCCACCCTGCCTCCTCGCCATCCCTGGGGAGCTGCGAGCTGCAAGACCGTCGCCACATTCGAGGGCCGCTGGGGGGGTCCAGCGGAGTGACGCCCCGCCGCAGATTCAGTGAGGGGCTGTGAACTCCGAAACTGTAGCTACTTTTCGAGGGTTGTTGGGGGACCCAGCGGAGTGACATCATACGCAGACGTCATATTCGACCTAACCATCACTTTTTTTGGGGGGGGGGCAATCTGCCAAAGTGTTACCACTTTCGAGGGTTGCTGGGGGGCCCAGCCGGGTGACGTCACTCGCATATTCTGACCAGACCTCGCCGTCCTTTGGAGGAGGGGGCGCGGACTCGCCATTCCCGGGGGGGGATGTGCTTTGCCAAAGTGTTGCCACGTTCGAGGGCTGCTGGGGGTCGGCGGGGTGGCGTCTTACGCGGGCGTGGACTCGCCGCGATTCTCTTCCCGCGTGCCGCAGGCCGCCCGACAGCCTGGCGGGCGGCGCTTGCGGGCGTTGAGCTCCTGCACCGCGCGGTGCAGGAAGGAAACGGAACACTTCACGGGCGAGCTCGGTTTCGTCCGTCTCTGACTTTAGCCATGATCGGGCCGGACGAAAGGGGGGGATAGGGAAAGGGGGGGTTACGAAATTTGCTGCATGCAGCTGGTTTCGGCGTCACCGAGGGGCCCATTCCTCGATACATAGCCGCCTCCGGCGCCGGGAGGCGCCGGGAAAATCAGCTACGTGAGCTGATTCTCACCCCCCCCTTTGCTATCACCCCCTTTCGCCCGACCCGACATGAGCAGCTGAATCTCTAGAGCGCCAGAGCGGCATGGCGCGGGCCGCGTGGCTTGTGAAGTCTGCCACGGGGTAATCATCGCCGCCTGTTTTCCTCTGCCTGTCTCTGTCGTTGTCGCCCCCCTTCTCTTCCCACCGTCTTCATGCTGATGTCGCGTTCACTGTTCCGTCCTTATCTTGCCTCTCTGTCCCATCCCCATGTTCTCTGCGAGCGTGGGGCATTTGTCCTCGTCCTGCTCCCGCTGCCCAGTGAGCCGTGCAGCGTTCCCGTATAGCTCGCGCAAAGCAATGCCGCATCTCGTGTTGGCATCCGCTTCGCGATTCTCGACCAACTCCTTCGTGCAAGTTGGTCGGGTACGTTGCAAGGTATTTGCGCTCCCCCCCCCATGGCCCCCCCCCCCGCGGGGAGGCTTGGTAGGGCCTGCGGCTTTGGGGTGCCGGGGTGGACCAGGGGCGGGCTGAGCTTCGGTTCGCTTGTGCCTCTCCCCCGCCCGCCCTCCCATTTCCTGGCCCCTCCTCGTCAGTTTCCTCCCCCTCCTCCCTCCGCCTCCGTTTCCCCTCCCCGCCCCCGTTCCCCCTCCCGCTGGGAAGGGGGAGGGGGGGCGGGGAAGCGGGAGAGGGGCAGCGGGGATTTGGAAAGGGTGGAGAAGAGGAGGGGTCGGAGGAGGAAGAGAAGGGGCGTGTTGACGTTGGAACCAGGAGGAGGGGGGGGAGGAGGAGGAGGAGGAAGATGAGGAGGAGGAAGAGGAGAATGAGGAGGAGGAGGAGGGGCGGGAGGAGGAGTAAACATAGTGATGAAAGTACGAGTAATATCAATAGAAGAGTACGACTGAGAATAGTGAGAAGACGAAGAACCCGAATAATACGAACAACGGTAATACTACGAATAACCAGAAGAGTCATACCCATACGAATAAGACAAATTAATCATAGTACTAAAAACAATGATAACACTGTTACTAATAATATTTGTAAGAGTAAGAGGAGGAGGAGGAGGAGGAGGAGGAGGAGGAGGAGAAAGAGGCGGCGGATGAGGACCAGGAGGACCAGGAGGACGAGGAGGAGGACGAGGAGGAGGAGGAAGAGGAGGAAGAGGAGGAGGCCCTGGAGGACCAGGAGGACGAGGAGTGAAGGGAAAAATGAGGACGCCGATGACGCCGCCGCCGACGACGACGACGACGCCGACGCCGACGCCGACGCCGACGCCGACGCCACTACGACGACGCCGCCGCCGACGACGACGCCGATTACGACGACGACGACGACGCCGACGCCGACGCCGACGCCGGTGGCGGCCAGAGGAGAGCGCGTGAGGAGGTGAGGAGGAGGGGCGGAGGAGGAGAGGAGGAGGCGAGGAGGAGGACGAGGAGGACGAGGAGGAGGAGGAGGAGGAGAGTGAGGAGGAGGACGAGGAGGAGGAGGAGGAGGAGGAGAGTGAGGAGGAGGACGAGGAGGAGGAGGAGGAGGAGCAGGAGGAGGAGCAGGAGGAGGAGGAGGAGGAGGAGGAGGAGGAGGAGGAGCGCCATCGCGGCCAAGGTGCGCAAGAAGGGCGGCTGCAGGACGCCGGCGAACCTTCCCCTCCCCGAGGCAGCCATGCGCAAAGGGGGGTGGGGAGAGGGAGGAAGGCTTCTCAGAAGCGCCCCTGCTCCTGAGAAGGCGCGGGCCCTGCGCCTTCCAAGAAGCAGCCTCCTTCTAAGAAGTCTCCCCCCTCCCCCGTACCCCCCTTGTGCGCCCCGCCTACAGATCCTGGCGCCTCAGTTTTTCCGAGCCAGGCGTTTGAGCCCTGTTTCGGACCCTTGCACCCTCACATATCGATCCGGTCGAAAAATGTACAAAGATCCGGTCGTGATTTGTTCCGATGTTGTATTGCGAAGACCTTACGGATGGTGCCGCCGACTTTGAAGGGATACGACGACGACGACGACGACGTCGACGGCGGCGGTTGCGGCGAAGACGACGACGATGACGATGACGTGAGTCAGAGTCCTCAGGGATGCTTCTTGGGGAATCTTCGGAAGGCTTTCGGGGGCCTCTGGGGAGAAATTCTGGGGCCTCTTGGGAGCCTCTTGTGGCCTCTTCGGGCTTCCTGGGGACCTCTTGTGAGCCTCTTGGGGCCTCTTGGGAACCTCTTGGAGCCTCCTGGGAGCCTCTCGAGGCCAAGGGCTCGAAATGTACGTTCCGGTCCCCCGTCTGGGCACGCTCTTGGAGCCGTCTTGGTGGCCTCTTGGGCTGTCTTGGGAGCGGCGGGAAGTGGAAAAGGCGAGAACGCCCAACAACAAAATCAAAGAACTTGGCCTCTTCGGGCCCTCTCGGGAGGGGGATAATAGGATAATGAGGAAGGTTACTTCAATTCTCGTGGCCTCTCGGGCACAACACGCCTCCGACGCCGTGATTCGTGTCGCGCGTGGGCCCCCACAGGCTCTGGGCCCACCTGCCGGAGACCACCGTTTTCAGGAACTGTGGGCCGTTGTTCAGCATCGCAGTCGGGCCCGGAGACGGCCTTCTGGACGGCATGCGAAGTCTTTGGCCTTGGTCGGTCAGGACGCCGCGGGTCTGCGGATGCGGGGGGGGGCCTCGCTGCGGACCAGTGAGTGCCTCCGGCGCGCTCGGGGCCCAAGCGCGCCAGGGGCACTCACGCACGCCCGAGCCTTGGGCGTGCGTGAGCGGGTACGTGGCAGGAGGAGGGCGAGGAGGAGGAGGGAGAGCACTTCAGGAGGAGGAGGAGGAGGAGGAGGAGGAAGAGGAGGAGGAGGAGGATTTGGGCGAGGAGGAGGACGAGAAGGAAAGGAGAAGGAGGAGGAGCAAGAGCAGAAGGAGGGGGCCGACGAGGAGGACGAGGAGACGGAGGAGGACGAGGCGAAGGAGAGCGAGGAGGAGAGCGACGAGGAGGAGACAGGAGGAGGAGGAGGAGGAGGAAGAAAATAAGGAGGAGGAGGAAGAAGAGCTCGAGAAGGCCGAGGATAACAGGGAGGCCGAGGCTGAGGAGCCCCGCGCCCACCCCCTGCCCGCGGGGGGGGGGGGGCAGCAGCAGCCAGCCGCGCCCCCCTGCGGATGGGGCGGCGGCGGCGCCGCCTGCGCGTGCGCGCCCGTGCCCTGCGCCGACCGCTGCGACCACCCGCCCGCACCGGAAGAGGGTGCTCCCGTCGACGGCGACGACCACGACGGCGACGGCGACGGCGACGACGACGAAGACGACGACGAAGACGACGACGAAGACGACGACGGCGAGGGTCGCTGCGGCGACGCCGACGACGCCGCCGACGCCGACGACGACGCGGACGACGACGACGACGACGACGGCGGCGACGGCGAGGGCCGCGGCGACGACGGGGGCCGCGGCGGCGCGCGCCCGTGCGCGTCGCGGCGGCCGCCGCGGCCACCCGCGCGCCCAGGAAGATGGTGCTCCCGTTTTCCTACGGCAGCAGCGACCCTCGGAGCGCCGCCCCGCGCCCGCCGCGGCCCTCGCCGCCGCGCCGCGGCCCTCGCCGCCGCCGCCGCCGCCGCCGCCGTCGTCGTCGTCGTCGTCGCCGTCGCCGTCGCCGTCGTCGCCGTCGTCGTCGTCGTCGTCGTCGTCGTCGTCGTCGCCGTCGTCCTTTTCCTCCTCCTCCTTCTCCTCCTGCTGCGTCCTTTTCCTCCTCCTCCTCCTCCTTCCCCCCACCTCCTTAGCGAAACCGCCTGAGCCCCAGCCCGCCACACGAGGGGACCGCAGTGGCCCTCGAGCGGCGCATTCTGCACCGCGAAATCCTGCAGCCAGGATTCTGAAGCAGGGGCCGCTCTGGGCTCGGAAGGGGCCCGAGGTTCTTCGGGTCCTTCCGTGGCTGTTTCTCCAGCGGTCCTCGTGCAGGCAGGCGCGCGTAGGGCCCAAATGGACTTCGTGCCACCGGCCCGACTGCATCTCAATCGAAAGCCTCCTGGTGAGCCTTGGTGCTTTGTGGCCGTTTTTCTATTCATTGTTTTGCCGATCGGCGCCAGCCCTCGCACCCCCCCTCACCTCTCCATGGACTAGATCTTGGCTGTTTTTTTGCGCCTGCTTCGAGCTGCAAACAGTCGCGTTGAGCGGAGGTCCGGAGCCAGACCCCCCCTCTCCCCGCTTTCCGCCCAATGTCGAAACGCCGAATATATATATATATATATATATAAGAAAAAAAACGCCGAGAGATGTCATGGCCGAGGCCTCCTATTGGGGCGTGTGGATGAGCATCCTCCTTGCGAGATCGCGCCGAACTGGGCGGTGGAGCCGCATGTGTGCGCTGCCACTGGGGCCGTCGATGGGGCCACGACGCGTGTGAGGGGTGCGCCGAAATTGGCGGTGGAGCCGCATGTGTGCGCTGCCATTGGGGCCGTCGGTAGAGCTCCCTATGGGGCCACGAAGTGTGTGAGGGGTGCGCCGAACTGGGCGGTGGAGCCGAATGTGTGCGCTGCCACTGGGGCCGTCGGTGGAGCTCCCTATGGGGTCACGAAACGTGTGAGGGGTGCGCCGAAGTGGGCGGTGAAGCCGCCTGCGGGCGCTGTCACTGGGGCCTTTGACAAACTGCCCTTATGGGGCCACGAGGCATGTGATGGGGTGCGCCGAGATGCGCGGTGGAACTGCCACTGGAGCCGTCGATGAACTGCCCCTACGGGGCCACGAAGCGTGCAAGGGGCGCGCGGGAATAGGAGGCTGGAACCGCATGCGGGCGCTGCCATTGGGGCCTTCGGTTGAGCTCCCTCTGGGGCCACGAAGCGTGTGAGGGGCGCGCGGGAATGAGAGGGTGGAAGCGCATACTGGCGCTGCCATGTGGCCCCTCGGTGGAGCTCCTTATGGAGCCACGAAGCGTGTGAGGGTTGTGCCGGATGAGCATGCAAAGGCCCACGACAGGGATGGGAGGAGGGAGGAGTGGGAGGAGGAGGAGGAGGAGGAGGAGGAGGAGGAGGAGGATGAGGAGGAGGAGGAGGAGGAGGAGGACAAAGACAAGGCTCTCCGCATGAGGGGGTAACGTCAGAGCACTTACTTGGGTGATCTACGCGCTATTGCCAAAATCCCCTGCGCTTGGTTGTGCACGGCCCTGCATTCTCACTAGGGCCGGCAGGGGGCATACCCCGAAGCTCAAGGACCGAGTTCCGAGGTGGCCCCGTAAGAGAGGCTCGCTATCTTACATCGCGAGTCCCATCGGGTCAGTGCGGGGGGAGCAGCTGCTGGCCCTTCCGCGTGGCCTTGGGGAGGGGAACGCGCGGGCATAGCAGGGCGCCCAAGCCAAGGGGGGGGAGGAGACGACGGCACGACCCCAAAAGGAGGAGAGAGGGGAGAGACGGAAGGCCCGAGACCCCAAACTGTTGTTTTGGGGGGTCCTGCTACTTCTACATTTTGAATTCCGTGCTCCCCTTTTCCACTCAGCTCACTGCGCGGTCGTTCCGAGAGATGTGTCATGTGATGTCCCTGTATTCCTATCTTGTGAGGTAGCCCATTTCCTCCTCGGAGTGTTTGAGGTAGAGCATGTTGGAAGTCACTGTCACAGGTAGGGCCAATGAGGAGCACCCAGGTGGGCATCATGATGATTTTTTTTCTCCTTCCGCCCTGCAGCTGTGTACATGAAGGTGTCCCCAAACATACATCCCATTGCGATGGCAGTGCAGGCGTACTGCTGTGCCCAAGTAGTCCGCCATGAGTAGCACTCCGGGAAACCTCGCTAATGCTTCCTTTGGCTGCCTGTCGGCACGTCCAGCTCACAACTTGCCTAGATCAGCACAGAAGCCTCGTCAATGCTTTCTCTTGGCAACGTGCAGGCTCTTGAGGGTGCATTCACTGGTGGCCGCTTGAGCTGGCCGTCGTTATCACCTCCGACTTGGCATAGCCGACCTTCTCCGCGAAGATATCGGTGCCATCCAGCATGGTCTGGGTGCTGTCCTTGAGCTTCTGGCGCTCCTTCACCCTCTTCACTTCCTCTGGGTCCATCTTGTCCTCGTTTTTCAGCTCACTCACGGCGACTTCCATTACTTCGTGGGGGCTCTCCCCGTCGTTCCTCGCGATATTCAGCGCTAGCTCGCACCAGCTCTGCACTGTAAAGACATTTGTTCCCCTCTGTCTTTCCCAGTGGTCCACTGGGTACCTCGCGATGAGGTCGAAGCCTTCGATCTTGTGCGTCATCGGGAAAGACATTGGGAGCACATCGACTAGCTCCTCTGGGCTCATCTTCTTGGCCGCGTCGAAGAACTCGTAGTGGCACTCCTCGATGGCGTCGTCGAGTTGCTGCGGCAGCCTCTCCGCAATGAACGCTTGCCATCCGTCTACCCCTTTGAGTTCCACCACCATCGATGGCCCGCTCTTGAACGGGAGGAGCTTTCCCTCGCACCCGATATTTGTGTTGCCAATTCTCGGAATCTGGTCCAAACGCGTCCTCCGTGTTGCCTACCCTTCCGCCAAGAGCACGTCCTCTGGGTGATTATCCTGAATCTTCACTCGTTGCACCCAGCCCCCACCTTGCACCAGACAGGCCACTTGTCGCTCCGCGAGTTGGGACCGGGGTCTCTCCGCTACAGCTTGTTCGGGACAGCCAGCCCACGCGAGCAAGCTCCTCCCCTTTTCTCGTCCCCTTTTCCCGTCCCAGCTCTACTTGTCCACGAGGTCCAGCGCCTTGAGATACCATGGCTACTGCTCGCCCTTCTCCTTCGCCGTCTTGTAGTCGCCCATCTCGTGCATTTCTCTCTCTCTCTCTCTCTTTCTCCTCCAACTCCCGTTTTGCCATCTGCAGCGCGTCTTCGTCATTTACGTCCATGGCCATGTACTTTCCGAGCAGGTTGGCATATTCTTCTGCACATTGAAGGGCCTTCGTCATTCCCCTCCTGCTTCGCTGAAGACTGCAAGGGTTCCTCCATTCATTTTTATAATTTCCAGCAGCGCCCTCGCCATGTCCTGTGGCTTCTGGATCGCGATCTGCTTTATTTGATTGCGAGGTTTCTTATTTGGGCCTCATTTTTCTGCCAGCTGAATTCTGGCCGCTTTGATTTGTCCGAGTGCCTGGGCCGCCCATGCAGTTCCTTTTCGCCTTCGGCTTTTGTTCTCGACAGACCTGCTCTCTCGTAATATACTTGTCTACGCCATGCAGCGTCCTTTCTTCTTCGTCCCAGTCCTCCCACTCCGCCTCCCTCAGCTCCAGTCCGCAATCGGTGGACGCATGCTCTTTTCCATTCGCTGCCTTTGCCACCCTGGTCCTTCTCGTGGCCTGGTTTGTTTCTGGTATGGTTTCTGCAGCGTTCGACCATCCTGTAGTGCTGGTACCCTTCGTTGCATCGCTCACAGGGCCATCGTTGACTGCTGGTCGCAAAGGCCATGGCCCACACGTGCAACACACTCTGAGAAACCTCGCTGATGCGTCACACTGCTCGCCTGGGCCTGCATTGGGCCAGATCAGCTGTGGCGACCGAAGGTGAGCTACAGAGAGAGAGAAAGAGAGAAAGAGAGAGAGAGAGAGGGTTGTGAAATCTCACCAACCCAACAGCCCCAAAATGCCAGTACTACCTCTGATATGCTGGTCCCACCTCCCCCCACTGAAATAGTATGGATTTCCCAGCTGCCCTGCACCCTCGTTTTTCCTCGTACTCCGTACCCATGTCCCCCCATTGGCCGCGACCCGTCTACATTGCGCGTATGCTGTACTGTATGCAGAATACCCTGCTTACCTGAAAGAGGGAAGGAGAAATGTAGCGTGTCGTCTTTGCAGATGGCGTTTTTTTCTGACTGAGTTGGGCGGGGAGGAGGCGGAGGCGGAGGAGGAGGAGGAGGAAGAGGAGGAGGCGGAGGAGGAGGAGGAGGAGGAGGAGGAGGAAGAGGAGGAGGAGTAAGAGGAGGAGGAGCGCGCGCCTCTGGCAGGCTGCTGCTTGGGTGAAGGACTATGATTTTCCACGTGTTGCGCCTCTGGCAGTAGTAGCCCAGGATGCTGGGTGAAGGACTACTCCCTTTCTCTTCGAATTGCTCCCGAGGTTGTAGCCCAGGCAACGCTCATGGCTCAGGCCGCAGCCCCTACTGCTCCATACCTATGGCTGCTCCTGCTTTTGCTCCTCCCCCCCTGCTCCTCCCGCTGATCTCATCTGTATAAGCATCGACCTCTTGCCTCACCACGGACGAACGAACGAGGAGGAGGAGGAGGATGAGGAGAAGGAGGAGGAGGAGGAGGAGGGAAAGGAGGAGGAGGGAGGAAGGAAGGAGTGAGAGACGCGGGCTGCTGTCTCTCCGAAGCGAGGACCCGGCACAACAGAACGGCTGAGACAAACTTGTTGCGTCGGCAGCGAGGCGGCCCCAAATCGGGGGTGCCGTTTGTGGCGGATTGGGCCACCGTGCGCGAGGGGGGAGCAGGAGGAGGGCGTGGCGGCAAGAGGGGGCGGAAATGGCTTGGAAAGACACGTCGTCGGAGATCTGGGCGCGCGGCGGGGTCGTCACGGCACAGGCCTGCGGCACTCACGAGGGCTCCGCCCAGTCGCCGAGTGCCGTCGGCCTGTACTCGCCCCCTCCTTTTCCTTCCTCCCCCTCTTCCCTCCTCCCTCCTCCCTCCTTCCTCCTCCCTCCTCCTCCTCCTCTTCCCCTTCTTCTCCTCCTCCTCCTCCTCCTCTCTCTCTCTGCTCCTCCCTCCTCGCCTGCTCCTCCCCCTCCCCCTTCCCGCCAAGCTTAACCTCCTCCTCCCTCCTTCCTCCTCCCCCTCCTCTCCTCCTCCTCCTCCTCCTCCTCCTCCTCCTCCTCCTCCTCCTCCTCCTCCTCCTTCCTCGTGCCCTGCTGCTCCTCCATGCCTCTTCCTAGCAGCGCCCGGGCGGGGAACGGCTCAGGAGGGACGCCTCTACAACTCCCCCCGATCGCCAACGCCGTCGCCGACAAGGGGGCCCGATAGCCCACCCGGCCCGGGAGCGCGTGCGGCTCTGCCACCGGGTGGCCTGCCTCTGCATCGCCGATGCCGTGCCGACGGGGGGAGCATCGGCCCCTGCGGGGGGGGACAGCCAGTTCCAAGCAGGGAGGGGGATATCGACCCCGCATCGCCGCTGCCCCTACCGAGAGGGGAAGGGGGCACCCGAGCCGGTCCCCTCCCCGATCGCTGCCCCTCGGGGGAGCGGGCCGCCTCCCCGCGCCCCGGCGAGGCTGCTGCACGTCGAGCAGGCCGAGGGGCCTCGCTGCCCGGAGTTCCTGCCGCCCGCGGCTGCCGCCGCGGGGTAGCGGCCTGAGCGGCGGCACGCCAGGCGAGGGGGGATGGGGGCCCCAAACCTCCCGGATCCTCCTCGATCCTCCGTCTCGATCCTCCTCCTCCTCCTCCTCCTCCTCCTCCTCCTCCTCCTCCTTCTCCTCCTCCTCCTCCTCCTCCTCCTCTCCTCCTCTTCGATCCTCCTCCCCTCCCCCCCCTCCCCCTCCTCCTCTCCTCCTCCTCCTCCTCCTCTCCTCCTCCTCCTCATCCTCCGTCTCCTCCTCTTCCTCCTCCTCCTCCTCCTCCTTCCCGATCCTTCTCGAGTCTCTTCGATCCTCCTACTCGATCCTCCTCCCCTCGATCCTCCTCCTCCTCCTCCTCCTCCCCCTCCTGCCGCCCACCAGGCGAGGGGGGGAGGGTCCTGGATTTCTTCGATCCTCATCGGCACGATCCTCATCTTGGGGGCAGAAGCAGGACCATGATGCCACGTTCGCCACCGCCACCGCTGTATCTATAGTATGAGTGTGGACATAATTCGTGGCATGTTGGCGAGCGCGAGGCGCTCAACCAAACATGTACCAAACCAGACCTTTGTGTGTCTGTGTGTATGTATATGTAGATGTATATATACACATCTACATATATACAATGGGGGGCCATGCCAAGAAACACCCTGCTTTCCTCCAGGGTCCCCTGAGTTTCTTGGTTTTTGATGGTTTTGCGATGGAGAGCGCGACGTTCCCACACCAAAACTGAATGGAAGTCCTGGGGTCTCAGGGTTGAGCTTTTTGGTGGAAGGTTTCTTGTGGAATGGCCTCCACACATCTATATCTATATATATATATAGAGATAGATAGATAGATCTATCAGTATCAAAGTGATGGGGGCCGAATGGTCGTTCACTGTCCCTGGGCGCGTGGCTCAAGTGAGGTTCCGCGGTGCGGCTTCTTGTGGCGTTGTTTTTGTTGCGCCTTCGAGTTCTCGCTCACGAAGCCTAGCTATTGTGGACCCCTTCCCCTCGATGCATTTTTTGATATTCAATTGAAGTCGGCGGCGAGCGAGAGGGGAAAGTGAGAAGGAGAAGGCCTTCTCAGAAGGCGGCGGGACTTCTCAGAAGCCCTCGCGCCTTCTGAGAAATTGTTTCGTTTTCCGGGAAGGCTCAGAAAGCTTCTCAGAAGGCCGGGGGACTTCCGAGCCTTCTGGGAAGGCTCGCCCCTTCTCCCTTCCCCTCCTCGCTCGCCGCCTATGAAGTGCCCCTCACGGGGCTCGCCGCCCTTTTTTTACAAGGGGAAGTCTGGAGGTTCAGGCTGCGCCCCTGGCCCCCGAGCTACAACAACAACAGCAGCAGCTCCCGTCTGATACACTTCCCAACCGTGTATGTCGAGATCGCGCTCTCGCGCGGGACGTCCTCACAATGTCTGCAGGAGCCGCGCTCCTGCGCCGGACTTCGCAGTTTGTTTATTCGCCGTGCTGTCGTCGCTCAGGACTTGCGCTCGCGCGCTGGCTTCTCTCGCGATCTACTTGTGAGTAGCGGCATTGCTCGAGACCCCTTCGTGATTCATGCAGGACTCACGCTTCAGCAACCCGCCTGCTCGGCCTGGCCGCTTGGGCCCGCCTTCCGGACGCTCCCGATAGGGTCTGCCCGCCCGATCAGCCCATGTGGTTATGCCACGTATTTTCTGTGCTTTGTCCCCCTCCTGCTAAATTCTCTCGTGCTACATCCTTCTCCCTCCTCCTTTTATCCCGTCGTCTCTACCCTTCTCTCAAGATCTCCACTACGTACACGTGGCAGGTGAAGATGATATACTCCCAAGCGGCTACGATCGAAGACGAAGAGTGTTGAATGGCCCCCTCTTCGGCGCACCCCCTCTTCGGCGCACCCCGTGCTGTTTCAATGAAAGTGCTCCCTCCGCGGCTCGCACTTTTTAACCAGGGAACGACTTCCTGCTCATATTGCGAACTATGACAACAATCATGTTATGACTGTTCGCATTTAACTCGTATATCCCAGACCCTCGATTCACATTTGTTATCGTACCCCCTTGGGGGGTATATCTTTCTTACCTACAGCGTTTAATTCGTGCAGCCCCTAAGGCAGGGGAAGAGAGAACGGATGGAAGAAATGGAGAATGCGTGCGTCCCGCATGAATCGCGCATCGCCTGAATAAATTGCGAGGAAGTCCCACGCGAGAGCGCGAATCCGGTTGAAAATGTGAGGAACTCCCGCGCGAGAGCGCGATTCTCCAAGACATTCTGAGGAAGTCTCAGGCGGGAGCCGCTGTTGTCATAAACTGGGGGCCGACAGTCCAATTCTGAGATTCAAGACTTGCCCTGATAAAAAACAGGTTGCGAGCCCGAGGGAGGGTACTGCAATTGAAAAAGCACACTGTGCCCCGGAGGGGGGATCAACCAATTTGTTTTCAATGGTTGAGAATACCAGCAAACATAAAAAACAACAACCATCATTTTAGATATGTTCGCTCTTATGACTGCTCGCGGGCCACCCGACACGTATATCCCAAACCCCCGATATTCGCCTTCTTCGTCTTCGATCACGCCACCTTGGGGGTAGATCTTTTTTAATTTCGTCCAGCCCCTGAGGCAGGGGACGAGAGGAATAGAAGGGAGGGACAAGCGGGAGGGAGGAGGATGGAGCACTAGAAAGAACAGCAGGAGGGGGCTAGGATCTGCAAACACGTGGCAGAACCAGACGGGCTGATCGGGCGGGTAGATCCTAACAGGCGGGCCGGAAAGGCGGGCCCAGGCGGCCAGGTCGAGCAGGCGGGTTGCTAAAGCGTGCGTGCTGCATGAATCGCGAGGAAGTCTCGAGCGACACTGCAATGTCCCAAATACATCGCGAGGAAATCCGCAGCGAGAGTGTGATTCTTGACTGTCGAGAGCGCGGCGTTTGAATTTGCGAGGGTGTCCTACACTAGAGCACGATTCCTGTATACATTGTAAGGAAGTCCCCCGCGAGAGCTCGATGTTGGAATCAGTTGTGAGGAAGTCTCAGGCGGGAGCCGTTGTTTTTGTAAGTTGGGGGCCAGGGGGCCAGTTTTGTGACACTTCGTTCTCCCTCGTAAAAAAGACTGGGTGCGAGCTCCGGGATAAGTATTTCAATTAGAAAGTGCAGCGGTTATCGGGGAGAGGCGGCCAACAACAATAGTTTATTAGAAATGAGAACTAACAACAACAACACCAACAACAACGAACACAACAGCATTAACAACAACAACAACAACAACGTTCATGCTAAGACTGTTCGTTCCTATCCGCTCACGTGCCACGCAACATGTATGGCCCAAACCCTCGGTACCCGCCCTCTTCGTTTTCGATCGAGCCCCCTCGTGGGGTCTATCTCCCCAGCATGCCACGTGCAGTTAGTGCAGCCCCTATTACAGGGGAAGAGAAGACGGATGGAAGGGGGAGGCAGCAGGATGGACAACGAGAGGATTTCGCAGGAGGGAGGGCTAGGACCAGAAAGCACGTGGAAGAACCAGACGGGCAGATCCTAGCGGGCGGGTCGGGAAGGCGGGCCCAGGCGGCCAGGCCGAGCAGGCGGGTTGCTGAAGCGTGGGTCCTGCATGAACCCCCAGGAAGTCTCGAGCGATGGCGCGATTCCCAAGTAACTTATCCGAGAAACCAAAGCGAGAGCGTGGTTCCTGAGTTTTTGGGGCGCGATTCCCCTATACATTTTCAGGAAATCCTCTGCGAGAGCGCGATGTCTGAATACAAGGTGGGGAAGTATCCAGCGGGAGCCGTTGTTGTTGTAGCCGGGGGGCCAAGGGCACAGTTTGTGCAGGAATCTATTCCCCTGGCATAACACATGGTGCGGGCCCCGAGGGAGGCATGTCAGCTACCAGAATTACATTGTGTACCGGTGGGGGGGGATCATATTTATTCTTTTAAAAATGAGCGCTCAACAGCTCCCACTTCATGTTTCCTCACAGTGTATTAAGTCTTGGGCTTTCGCGCGGGACTTCTTCACCATGTATCCCGGAATCGCGCTGTCGCGAGGGAATTCCTCGTAATGTATTGTGGCGCCGCGCCCTAAACACTCAGGAATTCTCGCGATGGTTTTCCTCGCGCCCTATTTGGTAATCGCGCCATCGCTCGAAAGTTCCTCGCGATTCATGTTAGATGGATGTTTCAGCGACTCGCCCGCTCGACCCACCCGGCCCGCCCGTCTGGTTCGCTTGCACTCCCGCCCCTAATCCACTCCTGCAAATCTTTCTCGTGCTCATCAGTCTTCCTCCCCACTGTCTCTTCCCTTCCTCCCTGCCCGTATTTTATGGGCTGCGCCAGCTACACCTGGCATGTACGGAAGAGCTACCCCCAAAGAGGCACGATCGAAGACGAAGAGGTTGGGTACCGAATGTTTGGTATAATGATACGTGTTGAACGGCACGCGAGTTGATAAAAAGAGCGAGCATATTCAACATGCTTGGTGTTGCTGCATTTTTGTTGCGTTATTGACGTCGTTGTCCGCGCCCCTGATCCGCCCGCGACCCACCCCGCGAACCACTTGCGACCCACTCGCGACCCACCCGCGACCCGCACACGTTGTTTTGAAGATTCGAAACCTGCGGCGGGCTCGCTGTGGAATACATGCAAAATCTGGGTTTGCGGCTCGCGGCGGGCTTCTTTAGAGCTTCGCAAACTGCCGAGGACCCCGCCGCCCCATTTTCTGGCCCGCAACATTTGCATATCATAGTGAGGGGGCCGAACGGTCATTCATTGTTCGTGGGTGCGTGGCTGAAGTGGGGATCCGTTGTGAGGACTCTGCTTGTTGCGTTTTTCTGTTTTCTGTCGTCGTCGCACCCGCGCCCCACCCGCGACCCACCCCGCGACCCACTCCGCGACCAACCCCGCTACCCACCCCGCGACCCACCCCGCCACCCACCCGCGACCCACCCGCGACCCACCCTGCGACCCATCCGCTACCCACCCGCGACCCACACGCGACCCACCCAGCGACCCACCGCGCGACCCACCCCGCGACTCATCCGCGACCCACCCGCGACCCACTTGCGACGCACCCGC